TTGAAAAATTATGGATCCTTAAACCAGATTTCCTGAAATTGTGCTTTGGGAAATATTATGGCAAAAATATAACAGAAAAGAAATAATGAACAGTTTGGTATATTATGAAGTTGCTTCATATTTAATTTATTGGAAGACTCATGCTTTGAAGGATTGTGGAATTCATTTCATGTTTTGTGGACATACATGGACTTTTAACCAATTATTACATCTTTATTGAATCAGTTTTGACAGCAAACATGTAATTATGTTTATTGAGCATTTTTGAAACAAAGCTCTCAGCCTACACTTTTCTCAAGATTCTGAGAAAATCTAACCAAAACGTGTTTACTTGGCTAAAAAACATTTGAAAAGTGCCCACAAACCATGAAAACTAGCACAGATAAAAACACCAAAGCTTCGAATGTTGGTGAAGACAAAATGATATTATTGTTAGCTGTCTCTTGGGAACCAGTAAAAGTAAAGTTCACTGGACCTTATCTAATCAAAAAGTATCTCAGTGATATGAAACAGCTAGGTGAGTATTTCAGAAAGGATGAAAAATAAAATCAGCAGGAGTGTTTCACATTAATATGTTAAAGTGATACCATGGCAGTATGGATAGTCAGAACAAAGGCGTATTTACAATCATGAAACAAATAAGAAAGAATTTTTAAAAATTAGAACTCTTGGAGAATGCATCTGAAATTGAAAATTCAAAAGTTCACCTTCCACTTATGAGATTAGACAATAAAGAAGTGCTTAAACGGTTGGATAGAATGTTTATTTATATCACTACCAGCACTAGTTTTCACTGTTTGTTGATCACTTTTTATATGCATTTTTGCTAGGAAACTCCTATGCTAGGAGTTTGCTAGGAATACCCCTGGAAACTCCTGAAGTTAGGGCAGCGCAGGTGGCAAAGTGGTTAGCACTGCTACCTCACAAAGCCAGGAAACCAGCTTCAATTCGGGTGACTATCTGTGTGGAGTTTGCACATTCTCCCCACATTTGCACGGGTTTCCACCAAGTGCTCCAGGATCCTCTCACGGTCCAAAGATTCTAGGTTAGGTGGATTGGCCATGGTAAATTTGGGGTTACAGCTAAAGATGGGGGATGGGTGGGGGTAAGATGCTCTTTGGAGGATTGATGCAGACTCAAGGGGCCGAATAGCCTCTTTCTGCACTGTAGGAATTCTATGATTCTATGACAAAAGCTATTATTGATTGTTGTAAATAGATCTGGAACAATGCCTTTGGCTATGTATTATGTTCATGTAGGAGATACATGAACCTTAAAACAACATTGTTACGGGCTCGAACCCAGAGAAAAGAGTTCAAATGAGAAAAGAGATCATGCTTATGTTGAAAAATGGGTGGTATGGTAGCGCAATGGTTAGCACTGCTGCCTCACGGTGCCAGAGACCTGGATTCAATTCCACCTTTAAGCGACTGTCTGCGTGGAGTTTGCACATTCTCCCCGTGTCTGTGTGGGTTTCCTCCAGGTGTTCCAGTTTCCTCCCACAGTCCAAAGATGTGCAGGGTAGGTAGAATGGCTATGCTAAATTGCCCATAGTGTCCAGGGATATTTAGGTTAGGTGGTTTAGACACAGGAAATGCAGGGGGTAGGGGAATGGGTTTGGGTGGGATACTCTTCGGAGAGGCAGTGTGGACTTGTTGGGCCAAATGGCCAGTTTCCACACTGTAGAGATTCTATAATTCTCTGAAATCTGACTCCAGCTCTATATAAAAATGATAATACTGAACTGAATCACAGTAGCTGGAGCACATTTCCTGTGATGGTTCCAAAGCCAGATGCATCATAATATTTGACTACTGACAATCACAAAGTCAACACTGTAAAAAAGGTGGATACATATCTGATTGCACAATTGGAGTGGTAAAGCATGGATGTATACAAAAATTGACTCATTAAAAGGATATTAACATGTTCCATTGACTGAATCAGCCAAAGAAATATCAACTTTTGTAACAATGGATCCACTTTATCAATGCAAATAAAGTCATGCCTTTTGGACTGAAAAAATGCACCAATTTTCAGCAATTTACAAACAAGGTCAACAAAGTATGGTCAACAAAGTACGATCAACTGTGTTGATGCCAGCAGCAGTCAATATTAGTGTAATGTTGTTAAAGGAGGACAAAATGAGGATCCAAAAACCAGCCAGTTATTTTTCTAGAAAGAGTAACTCATTCAAATAGACAGTAGAAAAAGAAATACTGAGCCCAGTGCTGGTTGTACAATATATTTAAGTCTACATATACGACAGTTCTGTGGACACTGTTATTTGTATAAACTATAATTCTTTACTTTCCTTGAATAATTACACAATAAAAATATGAGACTGTTTCTCTGGAGTTTAATACTTCAATTGACTAATTTGAAAATCATTCAAGGGCAGGAAGCAACAATATTACAACAGATCCTTGTCAAAGCAAATATAAAGAAACCGAATGGTATGAGCAAAATGTGTAAAATATGACTGTTAGGAAAATCCTTGTATTTACTGTAAACGTATTATTAAAGTCAACATTAGAAAAACTGGAGTGAGGAAATAAAAATACATCTTAAAGATTTTTTTTCTATGGGAAGTGTGATTATGGTTTATAATATATTATCATCAGTTGAGAACTTGAGTTCTAGAGGGAAATGGGTTCTTTGGTTTCAGTTCTGTGAAGATACCTTGTTATTCTCCTAAGGTTAGGAACTAGTTTTTTAAGGTAGCAAGTCAAAGTAGCATTTTCAAGAGATCATGATTTAAGTTAAGTGACTAAATAACTATCTAGTGTGATATTAGCTGAAGTATTTACTAACCTGAAATTTTAATGCCGAGAAAATGGCCAGAGGCCACATGCAGGTTCAGCTGAGAAGGGAAGATTCATACCAGCCAATGTGCTGTTTAGCAACTTTATAGTATTCAATGTAACTGGAAAAGTCCCGAGTTTTCTCACTGGAGTTCAGTGAGAAAAGTCAATGAAGTTAGCCTGTTTTTATTGTCTCAGGGAGCGACATAGAAAAACTCCTATCTGGAGAATGTACACAAAGTTCCCAACTGATGATAGTATATTATAAACCATAATCACATCTCCAATAGCAAAAAAAATCTTTAAGATGCATTTTACTTCCTCACTCCTGTTTTTTTAATATTGACTTTAATAATACGTTTTCAGTAAATACAAGGATTTTCCTAACAATCATATTTTACACAAGTCCCCGCCGCAGATGTTAGACTGGCCTCCTTAAGGGTGTACCCATGGAAAGCAACCTGCCTGGATGGAGTCCCCAGCCATGGACTCAGATCCTGTGTGGACCAGATGACAGGAGTATTCGCAGACATCTTAAACCTCTCCTTACTATGATTGGAGGTCCTCATCTGCTTCAGAAGACCACCATCATCCCATTGCCATTGAAAATCATGCAAGTGCCTCAATGACTACTGCCCGGTGGCTCTGTCATCCACAATTATGAAATGCTTCGACAGGTTGGTCATAGCTCACATCAACTCCAGCCTCCCAGATTGCCTTGATCCCTTGCAATTCGCCTACTAAGGCAACAGGTCCATGACAGACACCATCTCCCTAGCCCTACACTCATACCTGGAACATGTGGACAAGAAGGATACCTATGTCAGCCTCCTACTTACTGACTACAGCTTCGCCTTCAACACCACAATTCCAAACAAACTCCGGGACCTAGGTCTCTGCTCCCGCTGCCCAATTGGATTCTTGACTTGCTGACCAACAGACTGCAATCAGTAAGAATTAGTGACAACACCTCCTCCACGTTAATCCTCAACAGTGGTGCCCTGCAAGGCTGCGTACTCAGCCCCCTACAGTACTCCTTATACACACATGACTGTGTGGCTAAATTCTGCACCAAGTCCTTTTACAAGTTTGATGACAACACCGCTTTTATAGGTCAGATCTCAAACAACAAAAAGGCAGAGTACAGGAAGGACATACAGTAACGGCATGGTGTAAAGACAACAATCTCTCCATCAATGTCAACAAAATGAAGAAGCTGGTCATTGACTTCAGTAAGCAAAGTGGAGAGCACCCCCCACCTGCATCAATGGTGCTGAGGTGGAGATGGTCAAGAGCGTCAAGTTCCTGGGAATGATGATCACCAACAATCTGTTCTGGTCCACCCACATTGGCACTACAGTCAAGAAAGCACAGCAATGCCTCTACTTCCTCAGGAGGCTAAGGAAAGTTGGAATGTCCAGAAAGACACTTACAAATTTTTATAGATGCACCATAGAAAGCATCCTATCTGGATGCATCACAGCATGGTACAGCAACTGCTCTTCCCAAGACTGAAAGAAACTACAGAGTGTTGTGAACATAGCCCAATCCATTACACACTTCAGCCCCCCATCAAGTGACTGCATCTATACTTCCTGCTGCATTGGGAAAACAACCAACATAATTCAAGATCCCTCCTACCCCAGTTATTCTCTCTTCCACCCTCTTCCATCGGGCAGAAGATATGGAAGTTTGTATCTACATACAAGCAGATTCAAGAACAGCTTCTTCCCCGCTGTTATCAGACTTTTGAATGACCTCTTTAATGTTAATGTTGATCTCTCTCTGCATCTTCTCGGCAGCTGTAACACTGTATCCTGCACTCTGTTCTGTTACACTAATGCATTTGTATAGTACGATCTGCCTGCAAAGCGTATATGACAACCCTTTTCAATGTAGCTTAGTGCATGTGACAGTAATAAATCAAAATAAATAAGGGCCAATGACAACAACTAAATTTTAAAAAAGTAAATTTTGAAGCAGATTATACACTGTAAAGTTGTTACATGTTAATGCAAGTTACCATGTCTTTGAAACTCAGGGAAGTGAGATACATTTGTATTAGCTATACACTTCTTAAAAGGAAAACTACTTAAAGAAAACAGCGGCACTTCGTTACAAATGAAAGCAACACATCAAACTCTAAGGCAATAGTCTACCTTTTTACATAATTGAATTCTAAGCAAGTATACTGACCTTGAGCTTTCCAGAATTCTTCCAAGCTGCTCTTTCCTCTTCGCTGAATCGAACTGAAAGTGTTGCAACTGCTTGTGTGTATAATAAATTATACAACACTTTCACAATACAGGTAAAATGTTCTGTTAAACAAAAAATGGTTTAAAGAAAACTTTTAGACACTGTGCTTTTGGTATAGTATAATGTTCTCGATTGCAAACTGAATTAATAGAAAAGACACATGAACTGGAAGGATACACAAAATATACCTGGAGCACACATTACAACAGTGAATAAAAGTTGTGTAGTACTGCAGTGGTTCCTTTGAAATACAAAACAGTACCTAGGGAGGAATACTGTGGAATTCATGATTTTGAAACGAGTCTCATGCTCTTGAGGCAGAGGTTCAATAGGTAGTACACTGGACAGTTGAAAATGACTTATTTAATTGACATCTGAGACAGCTAATTAAGTATTTGGTTCGATCTCTCCTGATGAATCTTACAGGTGGACTAATCTTCTGTGTCAAGATCAGTTCCATCTCTTCTTCTTCTTTCCTAACCACAGAGAAGAACTGGAACAAGGAATGTTCTATATATCCCACAGAGGCAGGCATAGCTTGACACTGGGAGAAGCAGGCTCTGAATTTCATCTTTGCTGCGCTTGGATTTTGCAGTGGTACCATAAACCATATCTCCCATGTATATCCTCAATCCCTAAACTGCCATCAAATAATGGTGGGACTATAATTTGGCATAGGATAAAGTAGTCATGGCAGATAATTATCAGAGTAATATATGGGTACAACCCTGTTGGAATGGTACAGACTAATTCTGCATTCAGTAAACGACAACCCTTCTCATTCATGCAAGGGGACGTTTTGTACACTAATACTTGGGAGATGACTAAAACTTTTCCTTAGCTAGAATTTAATACCATTCATCATCGTGGTGGTGGGGGTTATTCAATCAGACAAAGGGTAGCAGGCAGGGATCAAGCTACTTTCACTCCTCTGCCCAGATTAATTCCACAGAGGGGAAGGCCTGTGGATGGTCATCCTACCTTTATGTCAACTGAGGCACTTAAGAGGGCAATTAATGCAACTTAAGGGCCTAATCCTGCTCCCACTGGTATTTACCCAGCAGGCTTACCATGTGTGTAGTGAGGAAATTGCATGGTCCCAGTGGTGGGGGGTGTCCCTTGTTCAATGGGGCAGGGACCACTCACCCCCTGCCTTTGATGTTCAACCCCATCCTCCCATGAACCATCTGCAATTGTTCACCTGAGATTTGGGATCCAGTAAATGGATGGCAGATACCATACTGACAACAACCACCAGCTGTTAGCGGTGTGGTTCACAAAGGGAAAAGTTCAAGAAATGACAAAAAGTTAGATTGATAATCTTCTGTTTTGAAGAGGTTTCAAAAAAGAAAGAGAAGGAAAGCAAGGTTTCAGAACATGTTCGAAGTAGTTGATCATTCAGCTATGGATGAAGAAAAGGTGGCAGGCCAAATGCACTAAAAGCCAGAGTTAGATAGGTGCAGCATGGAATACAGTATTAACAGCTTGCAGATGCAAAGCAGAGCAAGGTTATGGTGAGATTTGTCAAAATGATAAGAAAATTAAAGAACGGTTAATATATTTGAAATCTGGACCTGAATCTGTCTGTTTTAACTATGAAGCTTCTGCCAGTGGAAAGAGTTTCTTTACATCTAGTGTAAATCTTTCCCTCATCACTTTCTTTGAAGACCTTTTCCAGTTTTGCTAGTCAATTTGTCCCTAACACAGCATTCACATCCTGTATTGCTTGTCCACTCTGATTTCTCTCCACAGATGCTGCTAGACCTGCTAAGTTTTTCCAGTAATTTCTGTTTTTGTTTGTGATGTTTGGAGCATTTGTAGATCATTAAGGATGAAAGCCATGGCGAGCAAAACAGAATGTGAATGCTGTGTTGGGGACAAAATGACTAGTAAAACTGGGAAAGGTCTTCAAAGAGAGTGATGAAGGGAAGATTTAATAGGGCTATTCAAAATTATGAAGGGTTTGATAAAGTAAATAGAGAGAAACTCTTTCCACTGGCAGAAGCTTGATAGTCAGAACAGACAGAGTGAAGGTAATTGGCATAATAATCAGAAGAGGAGAATGGCGTTTATTTTTACAAATGTTACAGGTTATGGTTATCTGGAACGTATTGCCCAAAAGAATGATTAGTGGAGGGTCAAACATAATTTTCAAAAGGAATTGAAAAGGGTTCTGGGGAAAAGAGAAAATAAATGTGACAACTGGATAACTCAAACAGAGAATCAGGCATTATAATCAATCAAATTGCCATTTGTTGTGATCTAAAATATCAGAGATTATGGAGGCTGAAATGCCAGCAAGAATAATTAAGTTTGGAATCATGGACAATTTTTCCAATTGCAGAAAGGTTAAAGTAAGTATTGATGTTGATTAAGCTGTGGAAACAGATACAATGTATTGTTTAAGGTTTAGTTTTGAGTTGGGCAGAAATCATGAATGATAATGAGGGAGAGAGAGTGTTTCCTGGTATTGTCTTCATGACAGTACAGCAGTGATGGGTCAATGGCAAGACTTGATTTTCCAGCAAGGAATGAATCAATTTCCAGTAATAGCAACATCAGTCACTAATCTGGAATAGTATTGCTCTACGCTCAAAAGAGATTATTTAAAAGCCAATCAAAAAGATGTCTCAAAAGTCATGACAAAGCTATAAATAAATGCAGGTAAAATTCAGTTATTCAGCTTCCAACTAAGTAATATTCATGAATGAGAAAGAGTCAGCCTGGCAAAATAAGATCTTAATTTAAAATATTGTTTCACCAAATCTAAGCATTACTGCTACATAAAGACATAGAAAACAGGAGCGACTGCAAATGTTCAGCCCATCGAGCCTGCTCTGCACTTCAATCCTGTACATCAACATCATATTCCCACTTGTTCCCCATAACCCTTCAACATCTTTAGCCTCTAGAAATCTACTCCTTTCTTAAATATATTCAGTAACTTCGCCTCCATAGTCTTCTGTGGTAGAGAATTCCACAGGTTTACTGCCCTCAGAAGAAATTTCTCCTCATCTCAGTCCAAAATAGGCTACTGCATATGCTAAGACCATGAGCCCTTGTTCTGGACCCCTGGCCAGGGAAACATAACCCCTGCCTCCAGACTGTCCCTCATGTCAGAGTTGGCTAATCCTTAAAACATGAATGCAAGCATATACAAATATATTGCTATGGTAATGTTTTTTTATAAAGGAAAAAATAATATTGGTCAGGTCACTGGGCCCGAAACATAACCCTGTTTTCTCCTTCACAGATGCTGCCAGACCAGCTGAGCTTTTCCAGCAACTTTGTTTTTGTTCCGAAAAAATATTTTTGTAAAGAGGGTTACAAGAGCTGCAGCATTGGCCCTTACTTCTCAGTTATACTGTGCTGAAGACAACATTTTTATATAGGCGTTTCAGTGAGATCCCCTTTCATTCTTCTAAACTCTAGTGAATACAGGCCCAGTCTCCTCAAATGACAAACGCATCATCCATTTCTTTTGGAGAAATCCACAGCAAAAAATGATTGACAATTTAGTAATCTCAAAGATAGGGCATTAGTTTGCCTCATATGGGAAATGGGTAGAAAAAATACCTCGAGAAAGACCAGGAAAAGAGAGAATGCTTTTCTGAGGTTTAGTTCTCGACCCATTACTGATCAGAGAAATCAGTTTTACTTAGTTCCATGCATGATCCATGAAAATTCAGTGCCAGCAACACACAGCAGTAAGTGGAAATGTCACTCTTAGATAAATCAGGCATATCACTCTCTTTAACAAGCAGAGAAATTCATTATGAAAGTATAAATTGATAGCAGAATAAGCATTTAACTAAGATTTTACATGATTACCATAAATTGAATCTGGTTTCCAAGTGATGATTCATGGGGAAATGTTGTAATACACTTCGCAGAAGGCGGTAAGACCAACTTAATTGCTGAAGTGCTGAAACATGTTATTAAATGTGATAATGCTGAAGTCATCAAAACACTATTCTCCTCACCCTTCAACCCACAGAGAAAATACCAAGGAATGGCAACACTCTAAATCAGATAACGGAAAGGACGATGCATTCTCATCATAGAGGAAAATTACAAATGTGAATTTTAACATAGGCATTATATCCCGTCTGATAGCTGGTTGTACTTTTACATTGTTTCTATCAGCTTGTTCAATGGAATAACCTTATTGCATCCCAAAATCTGTAGCACACTGCATTATTTTGGAAGCACAGTATGCATTTGTGCCAGTGTGACACATCGCCATGGCAACAAGGTCACAGAATTTGAAGTGAGACAGCCTGTTCATACTTCATTGCCTCCAAATGTGTTCTCTGAAACCTGCTCCAGAGGTGGTGTTCATACATCCTGTGATATCCTTCAAATTATAGAGGCAAGATAAAAAGTGCACATTTTTTTTTTCATGTTGTCTTCAGCACAGTATTAATGAAAAAGCTACTGCCAATGCTGCAGCTCTTGTATCCCTCTTTACAAAAATATTTTTCAGGACCTGACCAATATTATTTTTTCCTTATATAAACGTTATTACAACAAAGTATCTGTATATGCTTGCATTCATGTTTTAAGGGTTACTCCACTCGTTTTATCTCCACAGAAAGATAACTATTTGTTGTTAGATCTGTTGGTACATATTTCACTCAAGTGCCATTGAACCTTGTATTCTGCACAACTGGAGGCTATATTAACACACCAAACGTACAGACACATCGCAAAGATTTATACCAATAATTATAAAGGAAACAAAATTGCATCAGCTGAAGGTCATTTGCAAGTATGGGAAAAAGAAGATTCAACTAAATATTTGGAAAAGTTCATTGCACGTGTTTTATTATTTTACTTTTTTAAAAAAAATTATTTTATTACTTAAATGGCACATACTTTTTAACCCTTTTGTGTTTTATTTTTCCTTACAATATTTTAAACTTCAACTAGTATCATTTCCTAGCTATTCAAAACCTAACTTTTTTAAGGTCTAACAAGTGAGGGATCAAGCATACAGCCCTTTCACCTTCCAATCAAATTCAGTTTGGTCTGACTGCATGAAGATGCCCTCTTTTTCTCAGCTGGCAGTGTCTTGAGAAAAATTAACTTCTATATCAAATATTATCTAACAGTAGGAAGTACCAATAATTTAATACAAAACTGAAAACCTCATCCTGAAAGTTCAAAACACTAGCTACTTTTCAAAATTAGTGTGTCATACCAAAATAGTTGGGGATGTTCTGCTGAAATTAGGACAATATACGAGAAGAGAAAATTTTAAATCTGTCTCTGAATTGTGAACACCAAAAAACGTTCCATTTCCATTTGACATTCCTAACTTTGATCAATACTAAAGTTTATACGAAAATTTAAAGTCTCAAAACAACTAAGTAGTGCAACAATTTCAAGACAGAAGCTTGGGAGTAACAGGGTCTTGCCTAACATGCATAAATATAAATGTAAAATGTCCAGGAGAAGCAATGTCACTGCATTGCAAAGCATATGTTAGCATATAAATATATCCATCTTACAGATGAGATGGAGGAGTAAGGTCAAACTGGTTTCATGAGTGGATATAATAGATCCGATGGGATTATTTCTAAAAAGACCAGGGGCTCATTTCCAATGTCCAGGCTAATAAGTATCCCTCAATTAATTCCATAAAAATGATTATTATATTGCTGTTTGTACGGTTTTACTGTATGCAAATTGGTAACAACATTTCCTACGTTAGAACACCAGCTACACTTCCAAATTACTCAACTGCCCATTAAGCACTTCAAGATATCATGAGGTCTGGAGAGGACTTTATAAATGAAAATTGTTCTTTGATTGCTTTCCATTAAAAAATGTTTGATGTAGCTTAACACTGCCAACATTCACTCTCCTGTAAGTTATCATTTTAATCTGAAAGAAGAGTTTGAGTATGAAGCTAACTAACTAAGTACTTCAACTGTGCAAATATAGTGTCATGACATCAAAAGCCTTTCATGACATGAAGATTTATTTTCAATGAAGTTCATCTGTTTCATTTGGGTCTCCCAACCAAGATAACATATTCATAAAAATCATCCTCCAATTATTTAAACTTTTTAATCCTACATCCCAGACTTTTGGGTCTGTAGCTGAACTTTGTGTTTCCTCTTCTTAGTTCAGCCAAAGGTCAAGTGAAGCTGAGAGTTCTACTTCACTGACTTCCCTCCATCAAACATGTTTCAAACATTCTAAGTGAGTATCACTTGATTCTGATGACAGTACATCTACAGTTATTATAGTTACACAAAAAGTGCAGTTAGGCATACGGCACGTTTGCAGACAGTTGTTACTAAGGCTTTCTTTTTTGTTTACTCATTCGATTATTCTCCCATTTTCCACCTCTCCAGCTACTCCACCCCCAATCAACATTCATGCTTTAGAGCCAATAAATGTTCTGACCTCCATAAAGAAGTCCTTTCTCAAATAAAACACTCAATTTGCAGCTGTGCTGCTTTGTGATGGGATCAGATCAATTTTCTTTCACTGAATGAACACTGAAGCAGCATTTACTTTGGTTTAAATCAATGCAGGATTGGGAAAAAAAGATACCAATTCTCATCCATCTACGAACAAGACAATGTGACTCCCGTGGTTCCAGTAAGGGGAAAAAGAATTGTCAAGTTCCCTTCTGCCAAATGCCAATTTTTGCTTCCAAATAAGCTAACTATTTGATTACTTCATTCGCATGATACAATTTTATTCAATATCTACCCACATGCAAATTCAACATATGTAGCAGATTTCTTTCAAATTAGGAACTATTTTTTATCCACGGGAGTTTCCAATTTTACTTTACTGTTTAAAATAAACCGAACAGATCCTTTTGGATTTGATAACTATAACCAAAGATGTTTGAGAGTTGGTATTCATCACACATTCTTCTCACCCTCAGGCTGTGTGTTGACATTACATGTTGCATCCAGTAAGCACTACTGTAATTATCATTTTTTTTGTGTACAGTCTCTTATTATACATGATTGCTGCAATTGTGACTGCTAAAATTCAATGCAAATTGCTATCTTTATCCCTCAGGCACTGAGCTAAGATTGAAGGATCACTCAGATCACAATACTGTTAACAGATGAAGGTCATTGAAAGGACATTATTTCACTAATAAAAAACCGGCTTTCTACGCCTCGTGTCCTTTTTGTATTAGCAAGCTGATAACAAGGTAAAGGAACAGATGATACTGATAAGTATGCCAAGCTCCTACTAAAAATCTTTTCAGTGCAGAGTTGCGCATGTAGATAAAGTATCATTAATTTGCCACAAGAAAAGCATGCTCTAATTGATTGTTACACTCAAGATTTGGTGACAGTGTATCTGGTCTTACAAAAATGTCCACTGAAAGGTCTATGCAAAACTGCAAAGATATAAAAATTAAACTTACCCTTGTGTAATTCTTGTGGCATAGTTAAAACAAGAATGAGCAAGAGAGATGAAACATCCCGGTACAATAATGGTACCTCTGGTTTCTCATCATCACATATTCTGAAAGTAGAAATTAAATAGTTACACAAAAGGCAGCCAGTTAAAAGGTGGTTTTATGAAAACTGATCTATTTTGTGTTCGCATTATGAATCTCAACCACTCATTGCCCAGTTATTGTATTTTTCAGAATTCATCCAGATTTGATCTGTTTCAAATTAATTCCATTATGCAGTTGAACTGAGATTGAAAGAAATCATTTTCCACATGCAAGGCAAACTCAAGGAAACAAAGTAGCCTACAAACATGACAACTTCACAATGATGAAATAAACCCCTTTACCATACTCCAAATAATATGTTGCAGCCGTTAAAAGATATTTCCTCTCCTACTGAATTGTCCATGGACTTTAGAAACCCTTCATTAGTTAACAAAATCTACACAAGAATGGTAATATAATATCAGATTTAAGTCAGTGATGAACTCCTAAATTAGTAAAGTTAAGAAGTGGCTTAATTGATTGAGCAGTTGGCACCACAAATCAGCATAAACATCTCAGATCTTACCACTTTGGAAGTGGCAAAGTGGTTGTTAAGATTTTTGCTTGCTTTTCAGAAAAATTGATGTAGAAAAATACTCAATATCATACCCTGACAACAAACTGTTACCAACTTATTTGATATAAACCAGCTAAAAGGTTTCCTCTGGAAATATGCCACATTATTAGTTTCATTAGGAGAGGAAGATGCAGAGGTAAAGGCGGCAGAATAAGGAGGAGGGATGAGACGGAAAGGGTAGAGGTAAGGAGTTACAGGGGTGGGAGATGTGAAGGGTGCATGAGGTGGGGAGAGTTGCAAGAGATATAGAGACAGGCAGAGGGCACCAGAGACATGGGGTGGAGTGGGGGCAGAAACGCAGCATGGGGTAAACAAGAAGCATGGGGAACGAGATGCATGTGTGTGGAGTTACAGGGAGAAAATCGTGCACCTTGAATAAAATTCAGAATTTCATGACCTTCCCATGATCAACTTAAACTATTTTATGACCATTTTTCCCCCATTATAAACATTGTTAAATTACATTTTGGGTCAGTTATTCAATAACCTTAATTTCACACAAATCCATACTGTTTCATAGATTTCTTTTTGTTTCACAAGAAGTGCTTATGATGTAAACCATTAAAGAAAAAATAAAAAGCAAAAACAAAAAAAACCAAAAAAAAACAAAAACAGGTCTACCACAGAAACACATCAAATTCAGTTCTGCTTTACTTTCATAAACATATAAGCAAGCTTGCTCTGTTACATCTCGAGAGGCATTGTGTGTGTTTTGCACGATCAGCAACGTTTGTGTTCTTTCACCTTCTGCTTCTCAATATTCTGCAAGGCTCGGACTTCTTACCTTCAAATGAAGTCTCAAGCTTTGGATTTGGTGTGCAGAGTCAAATATCAGGTACATTCTACTTTCTAAATCTGCATTAGGCTTCAGTGCTTTGATATCGACCTCAATTTGAGGCAATTATTTTCCACCATTGCACTTACACCTCAAGGCCTCTATTATTTTCCTCAGCTTGAGGGATTTATTTTTAAATTGGCTGCATCTCCTTCCAGATTTCTTTTATAGTGCTTCCTGCCACTAACAGCTAATGCCAAAAGGGTTGTGACAGAAAGCGAGAAAAAGAGACGAGTGACAGAGCGCAGAAAGCAGTGCGAAGGGAGATATGAGAGAGAGAGAGAGAGAGA